ACAATGTTACTGTTTTTACTGTATTTTGATCAAATAAATGCAGCCTTGTTGAGCATAAGAGACGAGACTTCTTTAAAAAACCTTTAAAAATCTTACAGACTCCAAACATTTGAATGGTAATGTACATAGAGCGGTTTTGACTGCATTTTGATTAGAGATCAAATTCACTGTCAGTCTATAATGTACAGAAAAGCATGGTGTGGTGTGACCTGTTCTTACTCTCTTACCTTTGATGGAACAGCCTGTGCATAGATATGTAGCAAACGCTTTGGATACATTGTGGGATCCATGGCGAGACGATCTAAAAGCAACAACTTGATATAAATTATATTTTAATCAATTACAGAAATAATCAGTTTGCAGGGCTTCCCTTACCCCTGTGAACTTGTCCAAAATCAGACCGAGAAGAGTCTGCTGATGTCCTGAATACTTACAAACCAGAGCGATGCAGGTGAGCACCACTGCCACATATATACCAAACAGAGTGAGGAAGTCCATTTGCCACTACCTGAGCAGCACAGTACCGTGAGTAATTTATTTTCACTTATTACAGGTGTTTGTATAAGACGAGAAAAGAGAGCTTAAATCAAAACCGAACGTATAATGGCCGAAAACTATTTACTTAATAAAACCATTTTAAACTGTGTTTAAGAGTTTCTTTTTAGACAATACTAGAATTACAGCTGTGCTAATGTACACAGAAAGGGGCAAGCGAAGGAAAGCTTTACCTTTATTCAACTGAGCACCATCCTCACACCTTTTTTTCCGTGCAGACCGTAGTGTGGTGAAGCAGACGTGAATACAGAACACTATTGCCAGATCTTTACACAAAACAAGAAACCTGGTCTGGTCAAAACATAACGACTTGCCTCAACAAATAAGCATAAGGAGGTATTTAATTATATACTTTTACATAAATAATTAAAACGTTTTACACTACTGCATTCTAGAAATAAACTACCCGCCACTACGTATATAAGCGACTTTGTCGGTAGAAAACAATCGCAAAGTGGACATGGCAACACCGATACGGAACTTACTGCAACTATGCTGTCAAAGTAAAAGTCATCCCATGCTGCGTCTCAGTGTGCCTACTTATACAACGCCCTTAAAGTATGTACTCTTTTGGTGAAGAAAAGGTACACACTTTTGAGTGTGTAGTAGAAGAGTAGGCAAGCTTTGGGATATACTATCACGTCACACAACTGCGTCTTTAACGGACTCTCTGTCGCATAGTTACAGGCACCTGGGGCAAGTTCAAGCTCAACCCGGTGTGCACCGTTTTGCTACGGTTTCCGGTTTGAACGACATGTTTCCTGGAAACGGTGTGCAACGGGGTTTGAGATACGTTTTCTCTTGTTTGGTGGGTGTGTCAAACATGTCAGCACAATCAGCAGCAACATGTGTATATAAATCACGCGGTATTAAAGAGACAGCTCGCACAATGTAATTAACATCCAAATAAATTCACAAGAGCAAGTATATTGCTTGCACATGTTTATTTACATTAAAGGCAAAATAACTGAAATAATAAGGGCACAAGTATAGACGGGGGCTGAACGCAGCCCTGGCCTGTCAATCATCTTGTTCCTACCGTATTTCACAAATAAAGTTAGTGAAGTTTACTTTAAAATTATACATATAATTTATCCAACTAACCAGTTTCTCAAGAGATACAGAGCTGATCTCTCTGAATGTTGTGTTTTTGTGTGGAATGGATGTAGAGCCTGTTTTGCATCTTTTTTTCGAATGTATGTTCAATTTTTCTGGATTGATGTTGAATATTTATTTACTATGTTGAGTGGATCTAAAAATGAATATAAGAAAAATAGAAGTTATATTTTATTTTGATAAAAAAGATATGGATAAGAGTCACATTTTTATGCTAAATCTTCTAATATTATTAAGTAGGTTTTACATACACCGATGTAAATGGTCAGAAAGGAAGCCCAGTATCTCCCACTTCAAAGTTGATTTGAGGATTTATTTTGAAACTCTTCAAGGTCTGTCAAATCGGAAAGCAACCAGAACTATGGACACGCTCAAAGAACTAAACTCCTCTTTTCTATTGTGATTATTGATGTATACCCTCCTTGTTATTTATTTATTTATTTTTATTTTCTTTTGTTTTGGGTTGTTTGTTTTTTTCTTCCAGAAAACGTGAACACCATGTTGTAACATTTTGTTATACTTTTGAATGTTAATTGTTCAGCATATACAATTAATAATAAAAAAATGAAAATAAAATAAAAAAAACTTCCTACCATAATGGAGAGAAAAGAAGTAGCTCGTTGATCTGCCAGTCGCGGTCTTTCATGCCGAGAACTCTGCTCATATTTTATGCATAATGATGTATTTAAAAGTTAACGACCAAATTTATTATTAATTAATTGTTTATAAAAGTTTACATTGCTGTTGCCGATGAAATATAACACAGATAACTTTAAATAAATATTTTTTACCAGGTTAAATTTTGAATATTAATAACTCAAGCCCCTTTTTCTAAGCCTCTCTACCTATCCGCCGTTCGCGCACATCCGCCATGTTTGTGGTTTTGTTTGTGGTTTTTAACGCGTTTTATTCGTGTTTGTAGTTCTGGACAGAGTCCGTCACCAAAGCGCAATGAATTGTGGGCAATATCAGCCATTAGAGTGTGCACGGATCCACACTTCAAAAATCGACCTGAAATAGTAGACCATCCGGGGACTTTTGGCATACTATTTTCAACATACTATGCTTTGGGACACACTTATTCTAATCTCACATACTATTTAGGATGGATAGTATGAACATTGAGACGCAGGGCCAGACTTTTTTTCTCTTCTTCTTCTTCTTCTTTAGGTTTTAACGGCAGTTTGCATCCTTTGTGTTGCATTACCGCCATCTTCTGGAGCTAATTACTTCCTATATACAGTATCCTGTTTTTCAGATTCTTGCCATTAGTCCCGTTTTAGTCAAAAAATAAATCAAATATTTAATTCCTTGTCCGCTCCTGCTGCATTCCAGTAGCCTATGTCCTTTAATCCACGTCCTGTTAATCCTATTTCCGCCATGTCTTTTACCAATATCATCCTTTGAATTTGATATTTTGGACTTCTTTTTAATGGTTTTTCTTTTTTGCTGGCTCGCTATTTTGTAATCATTTAGTTCATCTTTCAATATATTCTGCAGATGAGAAAATCGCAGAAGATCATCTATTTCAAAATTAGGGATTCTTTTGGTGGAAAATGTAGCCTATTATATTAATATTTGGATAATTAATAATTGAATAATATCGTTTATTAAAATGCAGTGCATGCAATATTGGTCTGCTAACAAACCAACTTTCTGATTTCAATACAGTCTTTATATTTTCTTCTGTACTTTGGTTTTTCCACAAGCTTATTTGTCCATCAAAAACATTCAATTTTTTTTTTTCGTCTTTCGTTTCAGAAGCAGATGGTTGATAATGTGCTCTTGTTTTCAGTTCAGGGTTGCCATAGCTTTCTAACTGTTGCCTCTTACAGTTATCATGTTACAGACCTGCACATTCACTACAGCGGTGATGCCTCAAAGGAAAGGGATACTACAAAAGCCCTTCGAGAATACTCCACCGAGCAAAGGAAGCAGGTATTCTCTTTTAAGGCATGCGTGCATTTGTAAATCTATGTGTTAACAAGTTTTATGAATATGAAGAAAGTTTTCTATGTGTTTTTAAAGTTAGTTTTTTATTGCACCTTTGGTTGTCAGACCACAACATCATTTAACATAAATGGAGCTAACACAAATTATTGAAGGCTGGAGATTATGTTCTTATTTTTGGATGTTGCAATTTCAGTTACCAGATTTATTTTTTTAATGCCTATGGATTCTACTGTTACAACTAATTTAATTCTGTTTTGTAATATATTAAATTATGTCTAATTTATTTCTGCAAATTATAAAAGACGGAGGTCTTTTGGCATTTTAAATTATAAAGAGAGCATAGAGTCCTTACTGTCAAAATAAAATAAAAAAATACTGTTTTATTGCAATACAATAATATTTTTCTACATACACAACCACTTTTTAGTTGTATTGGTAAGTTGAGATGTTGATTGAGGAACAGTGTGTTTGGAGATACAAGCTTTGGCACTAAATGATTCATTTAGCCCTGCATAGCTTGTCTTTGCTTCAGTCCTTTACATAATACGTCTATTACGTTTTACTGCTAGTTATACTGTTTCCCCATTCAGTTTGTAACCTTGAAAGTGAAACCGCACTACACACTTTGTCATGTATTTATACTGTGATGTGTTCATTTTTATGATCTCCCTGGGCCAGCCCAGTACTCAAAAAAACAACAACAAAAAAATACTTTGGAGGCCCCTGCTTGCACCTGAGCTGCATGTCAGCTCACTCGGTAAATCAATCCTTCCTCCTGAATTCCCCCCGGATGCATGACAGCATGTGTCCTGCCATGTGGCACGAGAGATCTCGAGATGCAGCATTTAATCTGTCTAATCCAGAGCAAGAGCTTTAATAGCACTGCTCCTGTTCAAAGATGTGTGACTGCGCTCTTCAGTGCATTCAGACGTTCTAATTATCCACCATCGTCCTGATGGATCCCCAAGCTGATTCTGGGCTACTTTTTGTCCCTTGGAGAGACAGCTAGAAGAGAGAGTATGGGAAGGAGGTATTTATAGAGAAATGGGGCCTCTCTTTACCCTTTTTGGAGAGCGAATCATTATCTGTGCTAGGTGTCCCAGTTTCTTGATTTGAGCTCTGCAGGCAGGACTAGCAAGACTCGCCAGAGATGCAGAGTCAACTCGTCGACAACATCACTCTGGCACTCGATGCAGTGTCACCTTTTTTTTAAGTGGCAGTGCTCTGCATGCCACACGACGATGGGGGGCATTCGAAAGGCGTTTCCCCTGAAGCGTGGTGCGGTGCAGGAAGAGGATCTCGTACAACTTGGAGGACGTGGAACAGGCGTTTTGCTCTCAGAATTTTTGATACCTGTTGAATTACGACAAAATGAAGAAATTCCTCCAGAATAAGAAAGGGAGGTGCTCCTTACGGCAGAACAAGTCGGGTCCTCGCTATCCACCCAAAGATTTTTGTAAGTGTTTAGTGTTCAATAATTTTGTGTTTGTAGGACGATGATGATGATGTTTAGGTGTGCAGAGGCTAATGTTTTGACGAATGACCTTCTATCAGTCTACAGGCTTAGGCTTGCATGGACCAGCCCACAAACATAATATTTTACCAGTCATTTAATTGGGAATGTTGATGTGTGATGTGTGTGTCTCTTAGTGTTCTGGTTTCACTAGTAAGTACATGCTATGCTACAAACATGACTCTCATGTTGCTGATGCTGTGTTCAGGCACATCTGTACTCTGATATCGGATGATTTGGGAGCCTCTGTTCCTTTTTCAATGAGGTCAATGTTACTGGGAGGTCTAATGTGTCAGCTGAGACTCTGTAGTTAGTGAAGGTTCTATATTGCTCTGCATTTCTTTGTCTTGTCAGAATAGGCAGAAATTTACAAAGCTTGACATATTGTAGCATCTAGGTATATATATTTTAGGTGCTTGACATATTTTAGTGTCTGTTCAAGCATGTGTCCGCAGTGATGCCCAGCAAATTTCCATTTTCTCAGGAGACTTGGTCATTTTGCTGTGTGTAAGTAGGTCTTGTTTACAACATGCCAAACATTTGGAGCCTAGTTGCCGATTAGAGACCACATATCCTATTATTTGCCATCTTTCTCACAGTCCTCACCATGCCAGCATCCAACCAGGGCTGGCCAGAGGAGTTTGGCTTTCAGATAGGGGGGAATGGGCCCAGCTACATCCTGACTATGGAGGAGGGAAGCAGTGCTCATCTGTCTGGACTGCAACCTGGAGACCAGGTCTTGGAGATTGAGGGGCAGAATGTTTCCAGTCTTAGTGCTCAAGAGGTCATCGCCCTTGCCCAATCACAACGAAACATCCCGCCCAGTATTGGAGTAGTTTCACGCATCCAGCAGGTGGGTCAATGACATGACACTAAATTTTGTTTTTGTCTGAATGTATTCATTTATTTAACATCAGGGTTATTATCATTAACTTAAACTAAAACTAAAACTATTAAAGAAATTTTAGTTCATTAAAATGAAACTAAAATGAAATATATATATATATTAAATGAAAAACCTAAACTAAACGGAAATGAGAAATAGCTTTGGAAACTAACTGAAATAAGTTGAAGCACTAAGATAAAAAAAGTCAAAGTAAAACTGAACTAAAACTAAAATAAAAATAAATTAATCCAAAATAGTAATATTAAAACAATTAATAAAAATGGCAAAATCACAAAATAAAATTACTAAAAAATTTAATTATGAGATAATAAAAGCTGATAAAAAAAAAATCTAAATATCAGTAAAAACAAATATAACAATTTATATAACATACACAAATATAACATACATTGACTTAAATACAGCTATTCTATGAAAAAATATATATGTTTTTGAGGGCATAAGGCGATTGGTTATATCAATGAAGAAAAAAGCCTCATTAAAATAATGAAATTCTTGAAAATAAAACAATACTAAGTAGATTGGCATCATCTTTAATAATTACTTCTTAGAAATATTTTATATTTTATTTTATTTATACATTTTTTTGACATGTCATGGGGCGTGATTCTCCAACAATCTTAAATGTTATTCATGAATTAGTAATTCAAGATAACAAATATTAAAGTGTACCAATAATTGAAATATATATAAAAATATATTTATAAAAGTTTTAAAAACCCAGAAACCAACATGAATACAAGTACATATACAGCTATTAATTCAGTTCTGTCTATAACAATATTTACAATCTGTTGCTTGCATTTTCTGGCCTGTCTGCAGATGGATATCATTCCAGGCCCTGATGGTCGCTTTGGTTTCACTATCGTGGGAGACTGCCCCCTGCTGGTGGAGGATTGCTCCACCTGCTCCCCAGCGGGTCGTAGTGGTCTCAGAGCTGGAGATTATGTCATGGAGGTGAATGGGATCCCAGTGAAGCACCATGAGATGGCAGCCGCTTTGATAAAGGCCTCTCAGGGCCGCACGCTGCGTCTTGGGGTGCTGTGCACGGGCAGTCGTCAGAAACGCAGCAGCAGGAGTCTAGAGGGCTCTCAGAACGACACAGATGGCATGCGTCAAGACCGCAAACACAAGGCTCTGGAGTTCAATAGGATGGTGAGTTTATCTGACAGACTTTGAATATGTTTTTATGACTTTTTATAATTGAAGAGGTGCAAAATCACAATCACTGCTGTTTCAGGTTGAGGAGATTTTAAGGAACGAACCAGAGGTGAAAGAGAAACTGTTTGCTGTACTGAAACAGTTTGCTGCGGAGAGAAAAGTGGACTGGCTTGCTTCTGCTCTTCCTGACATCTTGACAACTGAAGAGCAGCAACAGCTCATCTCAAACATCAGGTATCCATGACAACCCCATCTGCCACCTACAGCGCTCATTAATTTTTAACCTCCATCTCAGGCCTACTCTGACCCAGATGTTTTCAGCTACTGTATTTAGCTGTGCAAAACAGTTTGAAGGCCACCAGAGGGCATCAGTTTAGTGTAGATTTGTTCTAAATATATGAATAGAATTTTAGTACATTCTTTGCTGTTCTTATTATTTATGTTCTAAAGTCATACTGTGATGCACATATTTGCAGTAAACATAAACACTCTTTCATTTCTCTGTGTTTGGTATAGAATTAACCAGTGTGGCTTTCAGTATAAACTGGTATGACCTAATAAGGACACTGATAGATGTGTCTCCATCTGGTGCTGCTATGTAAACTGATCATCTTCAGTCCCTCTGATGTATGCTGGCACAGTTAATAGTGAAATTCCTTTTCCAGTCCAGCCTATGCCTTAATGCCAACTGGGTCAATAACATAAGATGGCACTAGACAGAGAATTCTAGTGTTGATCCATTTGTCGGCTTCTCACAAGCTGTTTGGCATCTGATGCTTAGTGGGACAGTTTACATGGTCTAACAAGCGATTTATTTTCAGATGTTTTCACATGATTAGTTGTTTGACTATAATATACACTACCATTCAGAGGTTCAGGGTCGGAAATCTCTCATGCTCACAGAGTCTGCATTTATGTGATCAAAATATGATAATAAAACAGTAATAGTGAGAAATATTATTACAATTTAAAACAACTGCTTTTTATTGAAATATTTTTTAAAATATAATTTATTCATGAGTTGGTAAAGCTGAATTTGCAGTAGCCATTGCCCCATTCACATTACTTTTATCACATGATCTTTCAGAAATCATTTTAATATGCAGATTTGTTGCTCAAGAAACATTTCCTATTACTATCAATGTTGAAAACAGTTTGGCTGCTTAATATTTTTGTGGAAACCGTGATACATTTTATTTTTTTTAGGAGTTTTTGATAAATAGTTAAAAAAAAACAGCATTTATTTAAAATAGAGATCTTTTGTAACTATAATTATAAATGTCTTTACTGTAACATATGATCAATTGAATGTGCCCATGCTAAATAAAGGAATTAATTTCTATTAAAAAAAACTGACCCTAAACATTTGAATGGTAGTGTATGCTATTGCAGTTATTAAAAATATTAGTATAATAGATTTTGTTTGGTGAAGTTGTTTGATGTGGGAGAGTAATACACTATATGTTACATTCTCACCTACTTACCTAGGTTGCATTTAGCAAGACTGTTTTCCTCAATTTATCAGCGAAAGAACATCAAGGTTATATATAGTGTTCAATATTGTATTTGCTAAATGGAGACAAGCTATTCCCTCTGCGCAGTAGGTGTTGTTCATTTGTATTATGAGTTAATAACCTTTGTCACTGTATAATCCTCTTTAGAGAGATATCTGGTGAAGGGTGGTGAATGGGGATGTCACCATGTGTTCAGCAGCTTGGGGATCTTGAGTTCTTTGGGATGCACAGTGTAATGCTAAATATGCTGTAGGAAAAGGAATTAATCTTAAAGTAAATCTTTTATGATCTAGTACATTTTAACATTATCTAGGACAGATTTTAAGCCAGTCTGGGTAGATTCAGTTTGCATTGGCCTACTGGGACATTAGCCAGTTCCCAATTTAATTTAAAGCTGCAGTCCGTAACTTTTGGCACTCTTGCAGTTAATAAACAGAACTGCGTGCGTCTTGTGGAAGAACATTGTTGCCAGAGCTACTTCTCTCTGTTTATGTCTATGACGAATCACGCATGTACTGGGCTACTACTCCGCAGTGGTACATACCCGAACCAGTCTAAAATAGTCCGAATATAAACATTTATTATAGGTGTACCATAGTGATTCAGGACAAGCCAAAAACACGGTTTGTAAAATGGATTCATGGTTTACTCGCTTATTATATAAATTATGTAAATTTTGAAAACAAAAAAGTTACGGACTGCAGCTTTAAATAAGCTCTTTTAGTTGGCACTAAAGACATATCTGGGCACAATTGTCATAATTTCTAGAAATCCCTTATTTAGGCCACATGACAAGCTATAGTTGGTCAGTTTAAGGGGTGACCGAGATTTCACCAAGTACAACATGTTCCTGGATCAACATCCTTCCCAATCACGGCGACCCAGTTTAAGGTGTGACTGTTTATTTTGCCATCTTCAATTGTTGTTGTTATTCGTTATTCATCAAGAAACTGAATGCTTTGGAGAAGAGAATGATATTTCAGACAACATTTTAAAATGACATACACTACCGTTCAAAAGTTTGGGGTCGTAAGATTTCTTAATGTTTTTTTGAAGTCTCTTATGCATTTATTTGATCATAAATACAGTAAAAACCGTAATGTTGTGAAATATTAATATAATTTAAAATAGCGGTGTTTATTTTTTAATGTATTTTCAAATGTAATTTATTCCTGTGATGGTAAAGCCAAATTTCAGTGTCAGTATCAGTGTCTTCAGAAATCATTCTAATATGCTGATTTGGTGCTAAGTAACATTTCTTATTATTATCAACATTGAAAACTGCTGCTTAATGCTTCTGTGAAATCTGTGATACATTTTTTTCAGGATTCTTTGATAAATAGAAAGTTCAAAAGAATGGCATTTATTCGAGATACTCTGATATTTTGTAACATTTTAAATGTTTTTACTGTCACTTTTGATCAATTTAGTGCATCCTTGCTGAATAAAAGTATTTCTTTTTAATTTCTTAAAAACATTACTGACTCCAAATTTTTGTGTAAACCTAATGCATTTTTCACATACATTTAACATATATTTTTACCATACAGTAGCTTGTATCCTATACTATCCTGTCCTACTCAAGATTCAAGATTTTTTATTTGTCACATACATGGTTATATAGAGAATATATGACCAGCAGTGAAATGTAAGTTTGTGGCATGCGCATTGCAGAGCTACACAAGACAAGCGTTTGAGGTTAAAAAAAGTATATAATTTTTATTCTTTAAAAAAAAATGACAGATCGTTTTGCTAGATAAGACCCTTGTTCCTCGTCTAGGATCGTGTAGAACGCTTTGAAGCTGCACTGAAGCTGCAATTTGGACCTTCCACCCAGTGAACCCCACTGAAGTCCACTATATAGAGAATAGTTTTCCTCAAAAACCTTAATTTCTTTTCGACTGAAGAAAGAAAGACATGAACATCTTGGATGACATGGGGGTGAACTGATACAGTCTTCAGGATTTTTTGATTAATAGAACGTTCAAGAGAACAGCATTAATTTGAAATAGAAAGCTTTTGTAACATTTTAAATGTTTTTACTGTCACTTTTGATCAATTTAGTGCATCCTTGCTGAATAAAAGTATTTCTTTTTAATTTCTTAAAAACATTACTGACTCCAAATTTTTGTGTAAACCTAATGCATTTTTCACATACATTTAACATATATTTTTACCATACAGTAGCTTGTATCCTATACTATCCTGTCCTACTCAAGATTCAAGATTTTTTATTTGTCACATACATGGTTATATAGAGAATATATGACCAGCAGTGAAATGTAAGTTTAAATGCTTACTAAACTGTAACTGCAGTTTAAATGCATCAATGTCCTCTCTGAGATACATTAAACTGTGTAAATACATTTAAATCCTATTTCAGATGCAGATTCCAGAAATTATTTCTTATGTTGGAATGAAAGACATCAAGTAGCAGTTGAAGTGCGTCTTATTCTTACCCAAATCTACAAAATGGAAGAAAGAGTTAAAACTGAACACAATCTTGCTACTCAAGTGGTGTATGAACATTTTTTATATATATTTATTTGCTTCTTTCTCATTTTGCATTTACTTGTACTTTTACTTTCAATACTTAAGTACGTTTAAGATTTAAAAAAATACTTTTTGTACTTAAGTACAATAAATATCACATACTTTAAGACTTTTACTCAAGTAATATTCTAAACGGTGACTTCAACTTCTACCAAAGTCATTTCCTGGTAAGATATCTGTACTTTTACTTGAGTATGGCTTTCAGGTAGGCCTACTTTATACACCACTGCAGGTTCCACCCTTATCGAAATCGTCAATCATCATCAGTTACTGACGTCCAACATCAAATATATGTCATAATAAACAGCATGCACAACCCTAAAAATGACAGATTTCGAAGTGAAACAAGATATTCAACAAGAAAGAAGACTGAATGTGGAAAAATGGCCTCGTTGCATACCGAAATGGAGCCTGGCGACCGGAGGGGAGTAGTTCGCAAATTCTAAATGCGTTTTGCGTTCCACATCGCTGCTTAGTTATTTTGTGAACATGCACTACATGGACACATTTAAGTGTTGCGCTGCCTCAACGGCTGCCGCGTTTAATTATTTTAAAATCGCAGACTCTTTTTGTTGACGAGATTAAGGTCTTTTGGATTGCAGGGAGCACTACTAAAGACCTTTTTTGACTCGGTGGTGGCAACATCTTGGATGACATGGGGGTGAGAAAATTATGAGGACATTTTATTTCAGAAGTGAACTAATCCTTTAAGCAGCAAGGCCTTTTTCAAAATTGACAATAATAAGAAATGTTTTCTTGAGCACCAAATCAGCATATTAGAAAGTTTTCTGAAGGTTTATGTGAGACTGAAGACTGGAGTAATGGCTGCTGAAAATTCAGCTTTA